GACTTTTTCTGATGGTCGTGGCCCAGGGGACAGGGCAGGGGACAAGATGATCAGCGTGGGGTCACCTCTGGTTCCTCATCCCAAAGGTGCCGATTTGGGAGCCAGGCCAGGATGCTCGCAGCAGCAGCAGAGAAGCAGCAAGCCAGGTCCTGCTGCACCACAAGATTCTGGTGGTTTAACCAAGTTTTTGGGAGATGTTTTTGTCGGCCCTCTGCTTTCTGTGTGGGTGTCTGGGCACGCATTTCCCTGGAGCTCTGAGGGTTTGTACATCAAAATATACAGCTATAGCTAGAGATACAGGTGTGGGTATAGATGGTACAGATCAAGATGATATAGATAGACAGGTGTAGATAGATGTAGATGTATGTATAGATGATGATGTGGACTGTATAGACAGATGTAGATGCAGAAGTAGCTGTAGATAGATGGTATGGATATGGATACAAATATGGATATAGAAGGACTTACAAAAGGCACAGAAAAGTGGGATTCAGAGAGATTCATCTCCCTTCAGACTAATGATTTAAGGACCAAACCAGCAGGTTCCCAGGAAAGCCAACATTTAGAGCTGAATAAAGGACTGAAAAACCTTTTAGGGTCCATCCTGTGTATTGTTGGGTCTTCTTGGTGTAAACAAAATGTATCCACTTGGGTTTGATTCCAGTGGATTTGTTGGTTGTTCCTGCAAATAAGCCCAAAAATGCACTGAGCAGTTCCCATGTTACTGCTTCTCCAAGCTGTCCCTTTTCCTAGGCATAGCCTAGGCTTTACATCTTGAGTGCAAAATCCAGTATTTTGGGGAAAACCAATCTTATCTGGAAGAATTTCCTACTTGAGTGAGAAGTAAACCCAGGTGTTAATTAATTAACCTGTGCTGACATGAGTTTGCAGACCCTAAGTGCCATTTCTAAGCTGCTACAAATAGTTGGGTCATGGGGTTCCTCCTATAAACCATATTTTGGGTTTAACCTGGGCCAGTATCAATTTCTAGATAAAGACACAGACGCACAAATGTTAATTCAAAGCTTTGCTGAGTAACGCTCTCATTTTCCAGGCTGTCAGCTCTTTTCTCTGAAATAGCTGTTCAGCCCCAAATCCATGAATCAAACTGCCAAAAGATCTTCCCCAGAAATCCCTTGGGATGGCCTGAGGGTGTCCAGCCCACGTGTCATTTTTTATGAGCCTGATGAGGTGATTTTCAACAAAAAGCTCTTTTGCCCAAGGATGCTCATCTGTCTCCAGTGGTTTCTCACAGTCACTGGTTAAAAAGACACATTTTTACCTGCAGTGAGCAGATTGGCCCCATCTCTCCTGTGTCCAGAGCCTAAAATGGGGTTTTTTTCAGCCTTTATGGTTAATGAAACAGTGGCCCTGATGGGTTTTGGGCACCTCAAATGCAGTTGGCTCCTCTAGCTGCTTTGCAGGTGGAGGGGATGTGCCCATGTTCAGGGGGGCGTTGTGCTGTGCTGACTGAGCAGCCGGGGTGTTTCTGGGGTGCCTGGTGGGGTTTGGCTGGGCTGGAGGAGGTGAGACCTGTGGTCAGCATCTTGGGTCCTTGCAGGCAGCCAGCGAGTGTGGGTCCAGCAGCTCGTCCTGCAGCCCTGAGTGGAGCAGCCAGCTGGAGTTCGGCACCAACCCTGCGGGTAAGGTCCTCCCCACCCAGCCCCAGCAGCCTGGCTGGGCTCGGGGGGGGCAACACGGGAGACACTGTAGCCCTGCAGCGAGTATTGCTTGGCCAGACCCCTCCCGCCCCAGGCAGGAGGTGCTCGGAGTGGAGGACAAAGGGAGCCTGGTCCTTCTCCCCCAACTCTGCTGTTGCAGAAATGGGCTCCTCCCAGGCACATACACCCCCAGCACCTCCTTGGGGGGATGCTCAGTGAGTTCAGGCTTCTCCCACTGCTTGATTTCACCAAGACGCCTGCTCACAGGAGCTGAGAAGCCGGACTGCAGCAGCCCGGGGCCCTGGAGGCTTGTTCCCCGTCCAGGGTTTGTCCACTGCTGTCCCTTGGCTTGGCTTTGCCCACTGTGTTGCTGAGGACTGCTGAGCATCGCTGCCCTGGGATCCCTTTCCCTCCCCAAGCTCCCTTTGCAGATGCTGATGGTTTTTTTTCCATATTTGCAGTTATCCCCCCTCCTCCAAATCCATCTGTTTTTTTCCCTAGAAGGAAATCTCCTTTTCCAACAGGAAATAAACCCTAGAATGTTTCCAAAGATTTCACTCCCTTTCCAGGGGAAGATCTCATCCCTCCCAGGGTGGGAGCTGGGAGTAGGTCCCCGGATCACTCTGGCCATGGGGGAGTGGAGCCGGGACCCATCCCCAGCAGAATCACGATCCTCTTGCTCTCTGCAGATCACCTCCTGGCCGATGACGCAGCGGAGGACCGCAACCTCCACTCGCTCTCCTCCATTGTGGAGAGCATCGCCGTGGAGGACGTGGCCGTGACGTTCCAGGAGGAGCAGGTTCAAAACTGAGCTGGCGCAAACCCCGGCGGCTCTTCGAGCTGGTAACGGGATGGTAATAAGATGCCAGACAGTTCCAGCCACTGGAAATACTATTTACCCCTCTGGTGTTGTGGACTGCACCATTGAAACCACTCACATCCCTTCCCACGCCTCGTGAAACGCTCCTGCCCAGCCAGCGGAAAACAATGATGGGGAGGTGGGATGCTGGCGGCAGCGCCGCGGCCCCACGATGGCGATGGCCCCGGTTCCCACAAGGGCGGTCGCCTGGCCTCAGGCTTTGCTTTGCTCACCGTCCGTGGGTGATTGGTTTTTGGGGGCCAATGTGTGTGCTGGGTTCGCTTGCTGAGTTTTTTCCAAGATGCTCTTCGACCAATCTCTCTCTCCAGCTGGTGTCCTGCGGGTGCTGAGCCCCGCGGGGGCTGCCCGCACCCTTTTCTACTGAACGCTGTGTGGAGTTGCCATTTGGGATTTTTTTTTTTTAATTATTATTATTTTTGCTAACTTATTTGGATTCTTTTTTTTAAATAAAGGCATTCTTGTTTGAACTGCCTGGGGCTTCCTTTACTGCTGTCCCCCTCGGCGCAGGTCTCCCCAAATTCCCAGACTGGGGATTTCTCCATATCAGAAAAGCCAGCAGGACCCCAGCACAGTCGCTCAGTGGTGGGAATTGGATGCCCCACACTTAAATCAGCCCTGCAGAAACAGTGATTTCACTGGTTTGCAACTGGGGCTCAGCCCTGTACCCCAAAATCTCTTGGAGAACCAAAGGTTATATTTTTAACCTGGGCTCCAGAAAGAACGCTCAAACCAGCACTGTTTTAAAATCCTGTTTATTGGAACACACATACATCCTTTCCTGACCCGATCCAGGGTTTGGAGTCCATGCAGTACCAATAATATGATGAAAGAAATAGGGCATCGATATAAAGGGCTCACTGACTCTTCAAATTAAAAAAATATTTAATACTGTATTAGGCAAATAATACACCGAAAAGACATTGTGACTGTAGAGCCTCTCAGATATTGCACTTCCAGACAGCACATGATAAGTATAAGGTCATTCCAGCCATCAATAAATATCACATCAGAAATAGGGGCCACACAAGGCAAATGTGGCATGAGGAGACGAAGAGATCCTACCCTACGGGGAAGAAATGGGAAGAGTTAAGAGCCTCCTGGATTGATCCCTGCCTGTAGCCTGGAGGCAGGAGGGGAGAGCATCTCCTCTGCACCCAGAGAGGAAGGGATGGGCACATCCCAGGGTGGTGGGTGCCCCGTTGTGTCTCCCCAGGCACCCAACGAGGGTCCCCTCTCCCATGGATGCTGGGTACCGTCCCGGCTGGCAGCGAGCCCTATGGGGCGGTTCCAGCCCTTCCCCACGCAGCCCTTCATGGAGCAGCCTCTCCCCTACGTGGCATCTGGCAGCACCCCAAAATGCAGCACCCCAACTGCCCACTCCTTGGCAGACTCCTTGTCCCCGTGATGGCCGGTCCCCGCTCCATCCCATGCAGTGCCGACCCTGGCACTGACCCCGGCCTGCCCAGGGGCAGCTCCCTGCCCAGCTGCCCTGGTGTGAGGATTTTCATGAGCCTGAATCTTCCTTGGCTTCAAGTCCTGTGGGCAGCAGCATCCCTGATGCCCAGGGCTCAGAGACGTCAGTGCGGCAGCCCATGGCATATTGGCAACAAGAACCAGACAGGGGAAAGGCTTCCAGGTATCGCAGCCCACTTTTGGGGTGTCTCTGCTGCCCTGCTGGATTGCACCACACTTTTGCCAGCGATGGAGCAGGCACCCAGTGAGCCCATCTGTAACCTGGCCGGTGCAGGGAGAGGTGGGCAGACAAGCAGGAGCCGCAGGGAGCCAGGGGAAGAGATGGGGTGCACAAGCAGGAGGGACAGCATCCTTTTTGGTCCACAGCAGCCAGACGGCAGCATCTGTTGGTTTGGGCTGAGGAACAGGCGCAGGCTGGGCTCTTCTCCTGTGAGGCAGCCAGCACAGCCGTTCGGATAGTGGGGATGTGCTGAGAAACCAAGTGGGAAAGGCCCTGTGAGGATGGCGGGTCACCTCCCTCCGTGCACCCACAGGCCAATAAACTCAGATGGAGTAAGTAATGAATCCTCGTGGCACAGAGGAACCATCCCCAGGGTACAGCTGGATCCCAGGAGTTCTCTGAAGTGCTTGACTATCCTTCCCTCAGCCTAGTGCGATCCCCAAGTCTAGGATGGTATCCTCGGGTCCCCAGTGAGGCTGTCTGTCCAGAGACTGGACAAACCAACATGGTTGGGATGCTGAGCATCCTTTGTGCATCATCTCAGGGTCCTGTGAGCCTCAGGCAGCAGCAGGCTGTCCCCTCACCACTGAGGGCCCCATGGTCCTCCACAGCAAGGCAAACCTTGGTGAAGGCAGACACCCTGCCTGGGTGATGCTGGGAAGAGGACGCTGGGCCTCGTGCTCTCCTCTTGGTCCCCATCGAGCTCCGAGGCCTCAGTCCTGTTTGCACTTACCCAGGGCCAGGCTGGTTCCCATCACGCTGACCCTCAGCAGGAGTACGTCCGGACCGTGGAGGTCTCCAGCCTTGGCGACCCAGAGGCACCAACTGGAAGTGAGTCAAAGAGCAGCATACGCAATTAGTGACCGCTTCAATTGGCTCTCGGCTTCTCACCAGAGCATTTATTAGGCACTGAAGCCACGTGAAGATGAGGGCCCAAGGAGGAGGCACGTTTGGCCAGCTCTGATGCTCTTGAAGCTCCAGGGTATTTGGAAAGTTGCTGCTTGCCATCCCTACTCTTGGGCAGTGTGTACCCTGCGCCGTGCCTGGGTGCTATCAGACCTAGGGATTTTGTCCTGGGTTTCATTGTTCTCAGCTCGTGGGAACTGCAGCTTCCAGAGATGGGGTGGAAAAGATCAAAAAGAAGTCTGACCCAAACCGCTGGATGCAAAGCTATGAAATTTGAGCAAAGCTGGAGACAGGAGGAGAGCTGACCCTGGGGCTTGGGGCCAGAAGGTGAAAGCATAACTAATTCTCATTCACACATTCATTTTTAAGGCTGCTGAAGCCAGCTCTGCCCCACTGGGGATGTGGCAGGTGGCTTGGAACAGCAGGAACATGGTGCTTGGTCCACGGGACAAACCAGGGTGACTGGCTGGAGCCTGTGCCTCCCTACATCTTTGGAAGGGACCAAGATACCTTGTAGGGGTCGTGTGGTGGTGGGGCAGAGCCTGGGACATGTGTACTCAGCTAAAACACATGACGACCAGCAGCATGGGCAGCAAGCACGCCCAAGCAGGTCCCTGCCAGCCCTGGGAGCGTGGCTGTTCAGCAGCACTCAGACCGAACTGAGCTGGTTAATTCAGTACCTTTGGGGATGGTTTCTAAAAGGCAGGATGGCCCAGACTGGGCTGCTGCTTCCCAACAGCCCCAGTGCTACTCCAACAGGCTCTGACCTGGATGTCACACCCAGGGCGAGTGACAAATATCCCTGTTTCATGCCCAAATCCAGCCTTCTCCCTTGTCTGGTTTGAAACAAAGAAATCCTGCGCTCAACCAGAGTCTGAAATAACCCTCCTGAAAACACATTTACAGCAGACAACACACAGCAGGCTCAGCGATCACAGGGACTTGGCATCAGGGGCGATCAGCAAGCCTCTGTCCCTTCTCCCATAGGCACCATATTCACCAAGAGGTCTGAGCAGGGGTGGCAGAGGCCCAGGGGAAGAAGGAGGTGACCTACCTTCCGGGGGCATTTTCTTGGCAGGGGCGGATGGAGGGGGCAGGGGCACCAGGCTGGTGACACGGAAGCCGCCCGCGCCCGAGCCGCTGAGCATGTTGATGCTGTGAACATCTCGTGGGCGGAAGCGCTTTCGCCAGGATGGGGTTCGACGGAAGGTCTTGTCATCACCCTGTGAGGAACGAGCAGGTTATGGGCCTGGCGTTGGTGGCAGCAGGACCTCCTGCCTCTGTGAGATACCAGCACGTCTTCCACATAACACGGGTGTGCCTGCACGTGGAGACCAACTCCAACAGTGCAAAGTGTGTGATCGAACTGGGCCAAGGCCATAGGAGACCTCTCCATGATCCCATGACACAGGCTTTGTCCTTTCCAGCTTGCTGATCTCTTCTCTCCAGCCTGCCTGCAAAAATGCCTTGGAGACATCCACACACAAGCCCCAGTGAAGTCTCCGAGGGATGCCCAGATAATGGCACCTGGAAGTGCCTGCTTCTCTCTGTGCTCTAAAGAGAGCCCTGCCTAGCTCTGCTATCACATCTCCTGGAGGAAAGCTATTCATGGGAGACATCTAAATGAATTGCCACCATCAATGACTCAACACGAACAGTTTTCTGGCTGCCCAATGGGGCATCTCTAACTCACCAGCTTTATCCGCCACAGATGTGTCATGTCCAGAACATCTGTGACTCTAGAAGGCAATACTAAAGCAGCTGGCAAGAAAAGCCAGGTGAGCCCACTAAGCATGAGGCTAGAAATGATGCACAAGACTCTTCCTCACCTGCCCGCACAGCCTGGCAGCATGTTCCTTGGACCTTTGTCTAGTAGTCTTAGCGTATTCCACTGATACTGCTCATGAAACTGCTCTAGAGAGTCTGCGATACACTATTTGACACCCTTGGACATGAAGGCAGAGAGCAGAGGTCCTGCTTCTCCTGTTTCTTGCACAAGAACAGGTGTTCAGCATGATCTGGACATGGGAGAGGTTTGGTACTCACATCGTCCAACCTCCGATCTGTGCCCAAAGCGAGCAGGTTGTTGAATTCCCTCTCTAGCACTTGTCGAGCCTGAAATTAACAAAAAATGAGCATTCCCCACCCATAGAAACGTTTTCCAGCACAAAGTCCAACCCCAGGAAAGCCTGAAAATGACAGAGAAAATGCCAACGCGCCATCTGAGTGCTCTGCTTTGGAAGGCGAGTTGAGTTAGTGGGACTGCTGAAGTCACACCACAGCCGTGTCCCACGCTGGCCACCCTCCTCCAAAACCTCCCAAGGATGCTGCTTTTACCTGCGTGTTCTGCGTAGGAATTTGCAAGACAAGTGCCAGACTGTTGTGGTCAAAGTTTTCATCGAGGGCCAGGAGCGCCCCGTGCACCCCACTCTCGACAAGGTTGTTGGCATACTCGCGAAGCCCAATGGACTGGATCCAGTGGATGACCTGGTCATTAGTCCACACCAACACATCTGCAAAAGAGTGAGGGAATGTCTCAGGGCCAGCTCAGACCACGCTCTCAGTTGTGCAGGGACCTGATGATGTCCTGCAGCCCTTTCGCATTGCCCCAGGCTGATCCTTGGACTCTTCTTCCCAAGCCAGCAGCAATACTGGGTGCTTGAGCGCCAGGAACAGCTCACTTCAATTTACCAAACTAAATGCTGGAATAACAGGCAGTAAACAACTGTGGAAATTAATCCTAAGAACCCACGGCTGCTGGTATAATTAGGGGCATTATCAATAATGAGATGTAATCTAAGCAACTGCCAGATGCGCAGGGAATCTCAGGACAGCCAACGAGGAAGGGTAGGCTGAGCAAGCTGGGGGGTGTCATGAGCATCTGAAATTGTCAGAAATGATCTGATGCTCGGGCTGGATGTTTTCTGTCTTGACACCCTTCCTCCCTCCTCATGCCTGACTGGGGTAAGCGGCATAAAGGCACTTGGAGCAATCTGCTGGGGAAATACTGCAAGGAGGTCCTCCCAGAGAACAGCCCTGTGGGCATGGTTGCTCACAAACAACGGTTTTCTCTAGGCAAAGGACGTGTTAAAATAAGGGACAGAGGAGAGACCATCACTGGACATCTCTTGGAAGGTTTCTCATCACCTTTTCCACAGCTGGATCATGTATGTGGCTGCTGACCTTTGATTTCGTGTTGGGTCTCTTCTCGCCTCCTCTCAAGCTCTTTGCGGTCGTAGTTGAGCCTCTTCAGGCACATGATGCCGTACTGCAGGCTGGTACTGCAAGGACATGAGATGTCACCCAACCTACAGCATCACAGGGCACGTGGCTTGGAGGGACCCACTTCCCTGCTTGTTCTCCATATGCCCAAAGGATACTTCAGTTCAGGGTTGAGTCAGGACAGGAACAACCCAAAGGAAAGATCTCAGATGGAAAATGGGGAATGTCTCTCCCTTCCATGGTAATTCGCCCCTCCACCAGTTTTACCCTGTTCTAACTGTCTGAATGCTTGGATCCAAGTAACGATATTCTGTGTTTGGTGGTTGGAGAGGGAAGGGACAACCAGGCTATGAGCCTCCTCTAGGCTGAAGAGTTCATGCCCAGAGCAGGGAGGGCCCTGGCAGGCCCATGGACACAGTCCCAAGGGTCAGGGAGGGTGGTGGTACCCCATGACGGGGCTGGATGCTAGTGTGTGAGCAAGGTGGTTAGGATAGCGCAAGCCTTCTCCAAGCTGGGCTGCTGGCAGATGACTGCTCTGCCTGCCAGTGGTGTATCAGGTGGGATGAGCTTTTATTTTTGCCTCTGGTTTGCTCCAAAGCCAGGATAAGGTTTGGACCTCTGCATTTTGCTGCAAGGAGTGTGATGAGGGAGAATATTTGCCTGTACGGGCTGCCTCAGACTAGGTGGTTGAGTTTAGCCTAGAAGAGCCATCCTCCAGCACCAGGGCTGGCCAAGACATGGGAGAATCCCTCAAATTGTCCTATCCCCTGCTTCATGTGCAGCCATCGCACCCCAGGGATCTCCTGAAGGAGAGGACTCACCGGTGGAAGCTGTCCACCATCTTCAAGTGCACTCTGAGATCTTTCTTGGTGAGGTGGTCCAGCATCCGTGCATCAACAAGACACTCCATGAAGTAGCTGCGATACTGCGGGAGACCCAAGCTGGGCAGCCACTCGTTCCCAATCCACTCATGGTTCATGTCCCCATAGGCCAGTGTCTGCGGAGAAGCAAATGGAGAAGCTAGGGAGAAACCAAGGCTTGGTGGAGCTGCAGACTCCCAGAAGACCAAATTAGGCCAGAGGAGTTAAACCCTAGCTTGGACTGAAGGAGCTGGAGGGAACAGTCCTGTTGGCCATGGTCTGTGTCCTACTGATGTCCCCCAAAGAGACAAGGCAGTAGCCAAAAAACAAGCATAAGGGATAGTTGAACTTTATGACCAGCTTCTTCTGGAAAAAGCATGTTCATGAAAGCTGAATCTGCTAACTAAGAGATAGGTTTCAGTGCATTCCCAACTGATTTTTAAGATGCTTAGAAATCTCCAAAAGATCTGCTTTATGACTTCAAAATGGGAAAAATCAGTTTGGGGCAGAAAAACATCCATTCAGTGTCACTGCAAGCTGATTTTGGATCTGAAAATGAAATAAAATCCATCAGAACAAAAGTAAAACATTTGAGAGCGAAAAAACTGAAGAGATGCATCCAAGCAAGACTCTTTCCTCCCACCTTTTCAGTTCATAAAAATGGTCTATATCCTGAATTTGGGACTAAAAAAAAAAGTGAAAACTAAATGTCTGTGCAGTGAGAAACCTGCCTTCCACGCAGGGCTGCTCATCACTCTTAGATGGGGGGTTTAACACTGGATCTTACAGAGCAGGTGCCAGAAGAAGTCCCTCTGCCTGGGGCACAGGACACTGCTCGATCCAAGGTCAGAGGAGGACCACCCTGTACTTGAAAGATGGCTCAGAGGAGGACAGGGTGCAGGTTCAGACTCCAGCAAGGACGTGGTGAATACTCATGCCCCAGGCTCACCTCCCAGCTGCCCCGTGATGTCCAGCTCTCCCTCCCATAACCACCCCATGTGCCACCCACAGCGAAAGGTGACACAGGGACCTCACCTGTGCCCAGCTGCCTTCCTCTGTATCCTAAGTGCGACACATGCGGCATGTCAATAGAAAGGACAGGTAAAGTCAGTACCCGGCGGCCCTACACCATGAAACACGCCATGCGTGCTGAGCGTGGGACCCCTCGGCACAGCATGACCCCAAAGACAGATGGAAGCAGAGAGAAACCTAAGCTTCAGCTCAAGGGCCACAGCCCCCAGAGGGCCTGCCCAACCCAATTTGCTGATGTTGTAGTTATTTCCTCCCTTGGCAACCTGTGCTGGTTTTGCTCAGCCTCACAAAACCTGCCAAGGGAAAGTGTCATGTCCCTGCCGTAACTCTGAGCTCACCTTCCCCAAAAGGCACCTGACAGTTACTGGTCGTGGCTGCACAACCAGCAGTAAAGAGCTTCAGTAAAATGCCTAATTCACACAACAGACTCAAAATGCTGCCCCTGCTCTGAGACATGGACATGAGATCATTAAGTTGCAGAGAGGGAAGCACGGCTACATCTCTCCAAAGGAGACAGAGCTTTTGGGAGCTCAGCCACATCTCTCCAAGGGGACCCCAAGCTATGAGCCAGTGGCAGGGACAGACAGTGGGGACAATATTTGAGTGTGCTATAGTCAATAAGAGATTAGACCGTGACTTCCCTGGGTGCAGAATGACCCATGTGGGACTCAATCTCACGCATCTATCTTGAGACCACAACCAACAGACAAGACACTCTACAAACCCAGCAAAACCCACAAGAAAAAGGAAAACATGTCTGATGGTTTTTAAGCCAATTTTAGAAATTGTTGAGATATTAAAGGTTGAAAGATGGTTTCTGAACAGGTGCATTGTGCTGGCCAAGAGCTGACACATGAAGCGCAGCAAAGACCCCCTTCCTTCCTTCCCAGGTTTTAGCACGTTCATGCATGCCCGGAGCTCAGCTCGGTGACCAATATGCCGTGCAGCACCCGTGGGGCCAGTCAGCCTCACCGTCTTGGTGGAAGTCGCCATGTTCTCCATCTCCTCGTGGGTGACCCAGACATTTCCAGAGGACTGCAAGGAAAAGAGCAGAGTCGTCAGGGTAAACCACCACAGAACCATGGTCTCAGTTCACAGTTGTGCTGGAGACAAGCCCAGCTCAGGCTGATGGAGGATCAGGCCACCCTTGCTCTCGGAGTGGTACTGGGGAGAGCTCGCAGCATCCTTGCAGCTCAGGCTGGTAGCAGCCTGCAGCCCGTGGGTATCCTGGGCTGTCTGTGTGGTCACAGAGAGTGCAGCAAGGACCACTGGCCCTTTGTCTGCCTGTACACTTTGGTGTTATGCTCATGGAACCCGCAGGCTTGTCTGTGACACTGTGACCCCAGGCACAGCCATCTGAGGGGAACACAGCACAGCTGGGGCCTTTCTTTCCACTGGCTGCATTTCTGCAGATGTGTTCTGGCATTACTGGGGCACCCTCGAGGGGTTTGAGGACCAGCACAAGTCCCAGTCACCCATCCACTCTATGTCCTATCCAGGGCCAGGCTGGGATCTGCAGCTGCTGCAACTTGCCCCAGTAATTTCACATGGCCCCAGGAAAAGGCTTGTATTGAGATGACTGAGCAAACGGCTACGCCTAGCTGATTTGGCCCTGGGATTTTATCCCCTCCAGGGCAGAGAGTCCACGAGCTTTGCTCTTTGCAAGCTGCTCAGTAGTGTCAGCCACTTGCTGACAACCTCTGAGTGTGAGGACAAGAGCATTTGCTGGTGCCTCAAGATGGGAAAGTGCTTCCCACCCCATGGCTGTACATGACCTTTGTGCCTGAGGACAAGCGTCTGGTGCTCTGACCAGTCCATGACAGAATGTCACCCCCTCCATGGCCGCGCTTGCCTGTAACACTGGGACCCCCCGGTGACCAATGGATGACTGTGGTCAGAAGGAGCCAGGGAAAGGAGGGACACAACTGTAGTGTCCTGCTCCAAGGCGGGTCTGTCTGGGGGAAGAGGGGGTTTGCAGCATGGAACACTCACCGTCCGTGAGGTGGGTGGTGCTGAGGGGCTCGTAAGCGATACCATCTCCTGGATGGCCAGGCGCAGCTTCAGGCGATGCAGTGCATTGCTGATGCCGATCTCCCTCTGGATCTCAGTGTCAGACAGGGCCGACATGATGGCTCCGCTCTTCACATTGGCTCGGCAAGCGGCAACGTACCAGGCCGGCATCCCCACCCAGAGCTGCCAAAACAGGGCAAAGCCAGTGACTGCCTGGCTGACCTTCTCTAACTTCCTCTGCCAGGATCAAGGCCATAATGTTTGAAGCTTGATAACCAAGTTGGATACCCACATGGGATTAATTTTTGTTTGTACCTTGCCCAGATGGCCTGTGGGCAACCCAGCATCCCTGTATCTGAGGGACAACCCACTGAGCCTTTCAACTCAAAGCTCTCTTCAAACCGCAGCTACAGAACATGTGAAGGATCTGCTCCTCTCTCCCAGGTTTTGCGACCACCAGCCACGTGCATGGACCAAGCACAGTGGGACTGTGGGGTGCTGCACCACTGCCGGGGGAGCACGCTGCAGAACGGCGGCAACTGCAAAGCCAGTGGTGCATGGGATGATGCAGGGGCACACTCTGCCTCACCTCCAGCCAGGAGACCACGGTGGGGCCATCCCAGTGAGCAAAGGGCAACCCTTTCCTCCGAGCCTCTTCCAGGAGTTCATGCCTGGAGGGAACAGAAGCAGAAGAGGGATTTATTGGGGGCTTGTGGGGATGGGAGCAGCTCCTGAAAGGGAATAGACCACAGGCAGTAAGAACCAGCTGGCAGCAAAGCAACAAAGGAGCTAACAGGGCTCAAGGGAGGGTGAAGATGAGTCTTTCCAGCAATTCCCAGTCCCATGCCATGGCTTCTCAGCCATTGGGCAGGACATCTTCTTGCTGGGGTAGGGAAGGAGGTTCACTCACTTCTTCCGCAGGCGCCGATCCTTCTCAGCCTGAGCACCCAGCTTGCCAAGTCCCAGAGGGTCCTGCATGCCCACCTCCATGTCAGTCAGGATCACTGTTTGACAAGCAAGACACCCTCAGGTCAGTATGATGTCCCCAGGGTCAGCATGACACCCCCATGGCCAGAGTGGGCACTGTCATGGTCCCTATGCCAGGTGTTGGGGATGCACAATTGCAGCACAGGAAGTGACAGTCTCCATTTCCAACCTACCCCCCACAGCACCTCTGCATCCTTGGAAAGCCCAAGGAGATCCCCACTTGCCATCCCTCCCATTTCAAAGTGCTCAACCTGGAAGCAGTAAAGGATTTAGGAGTGGAAAAGCAGCTCCTACCAAAGGGCTTGGCAAAATCAAGAAAGTCCCATGGGTAGGGAAGCAGATTTGGGGACATTAAAGACAAGACACAGTGATGGGGGGTCACTATCCTCAGTGCAGCTCTTGCAGAGCATTAAGAGTGTTACCACGCTCAGGCCAGAAAGGGCCACAGGGCAGAAAGCACCAGGACCCAACTGCCCTGAAGCTGCAGGGAGCCCAGAGTGTCCTCAATATCCCCAAACCAGCAAGGGTGTCCCTGCTCCTCCACCGGTCACCCCAACAGCTCCCCAAAGCCAGACAGGGCCAGGAGGCATGCGGAGAGCCTGGCCCAAGAGGATGCCCGCCCAGCACGCACAGGAATAGGGCTGCTCACAAACCCTGCCCCGTGGCCCCTTCTCTGCTCAGCTGAATCAAGCGACCCTTCTCTTTTTTCCCAAACAAGCGCCCGATGGAAGATTTGATCCCCTTCCTCTTGGAGCCCTTGTGCAAGGAGTCCTGGCTGCTGTTGCTGCTGGGGTTGCTGGCCTGCTCCTCCAGCGAGCTGGGGATGGAGGGGGGAGAGGAACAGCAAAGCCTTTAGGTTATTCCTGAGCAGTGCACAAGCCATGGCAAACCCCAGCCCATCCCACAATCCCATGTTTGCCCCATGTAAATCCTCAAACCAGCGGAGCAGAAACTGGTGTGAGATCCAAAGGGAGGTATGCTCCACATACCTCTTCCCATCCTCCTGACTCAGTGCGGGGTGGCCCAGCTTCTCCAGCCGCAACGTCCTGGGTGAGGATGGGGGGGAAGTCTCGCATTTGATGGTGGTTTTATCCTCTCGGCTTTCATCCCGAGCTGCAGGCGACTGAACAAGCAAAGAAGCTGTGAGGTTGGGCAGCCAAAGCCCAGCTCCATCCTTGCCCTGCTGCCTGCCTCTCTCTTGCTCCATGGAGGCATGGCCAAAAGAGCCACCAGGGCCCTGAGGCTTTGCCACGCTCCAGGATTGGCCTGATCTAGAGCTCTGGCAATGGCTCGAGATGCCCAAGCAGATGGGGAGGATGTGGCTGTATGGCCAAGATCCTGGGAATAGGGAGGAGAGAGGATGCAGCCCCATGGTCCAGGTTGGGGTGTGGGGACAGAAGCTGCTGGCCCTCAGCAGAGGGCTCTGGGGAGCACAGATAGGAATGTCCCAAAGACACCCTGTTGCCAGAGGGGACACATAATATTTTGAGGACCCAGTGGCTTTCTGAACCTCCCCATGTCCTGCCAGACCCCCCAGGCTGCTAGCCGGCACATCTCCAAGCACCTTATGGGATCCCCATGATGCTCCT